GCTCGGTCCACTTTACAACGGATTATTCGCATTGATTTGCATTTGTTCCCGTACAAAATTCAATTGACGTAAAGAATGTTGCCTGCGGACAAGCCTCGTCGATTGGAATGGGCCCAAAGAGTCATGGGTCCGTCGAATATGGGCAACCCTGTATATGTTTCGTCCGATTTGGTGTTTTAACAGCCCCACATGTGTAATATACATTCCAGAAGAATGATATTTTGTACCGGACATCAGATACTGCTAGAAAATACCTGTGCAATATTATCGAGATCGGTTCAGATAGACTGAATTTTGACAATTCCTACTGAATTCATCCTAAAAAGCAAGTACTTAAAATTTGGTGTAAATGGGTTCAGATATAGCTATAGCTCCCATATATAAGTTTTATCCGACTTGGAGTTTATGGTCCGTCATAAGCGGCAAGCGAATTCTGGCAAAATCTACCGATTTCAGTCAAGAAGCAAGTACATTAAATTTGGTGAAAATCGGTATAGGTATATAGCTCCCACATATTATTTTTAAGCGATTTCGGGTTAATTGTGCACCAAATAGCCAATATCAGTCCAAATGACCTGAGACCGAATTCAGTCTAGAAGCAAGTGCACGAAATTAGGTGAAAATCGGTTCAGATAAAGCTATATCTCTCATATATATGTTTCATCCGATTTGGTTTTAAGTCATTCACATTCGTAATATGCATTCGACAACAATGATATTTGGTACCAGATGTCTTATAGAGCTCGGAAATATATTTGCCAAATTTTGTCGAGGACGGCTAAGATTTGGATATACCATCCATATATATCCTTAATCCGATTTCAGGTTTAATGTGAAAATAGTGGCTTATATCAGTCCAAATGGAGGGAATTTCGGGACGTACGTTTCCATTTTGTGGAACTCGGCTCCGATATATATTTTTTAATATAATCCTTCTCGAAGTTATATTATGCACTCTATAGCAATGTTATTTGGTATAAAAGATTAAAATGTCTCCGTCAAATTTAGTGAAAATCGATTTAGAATTGGATATTCCTCCCATATATTAGTTCCCTCTGAATCCAAACTATAACTGCTCTAAAGCCACTCCACTTTTCCTTACTTGTTTATATATATAAAAATGTGGAAATATCGAACTTTGATCTATATGGCGACATCAGAACCTAACTAAATGATTATTGGTACAATTTAAATGTCTGAATTTTTGTAATGATTTTTAAATCGATTTATTCGGCAAGAAACCGAAATAAGCACTGTGCTCTAAAAGAATGTAATAAGAACAAGTAAAAAAAGCTATAAGATCGGCCGGGCCGAACTTTGAATACCCTCCATCATTTGGTACAAATTTGGCCATAAAATCTGTTAAAAATTCTATTAAAATCTTAAAAATACCAAATGTAGACGTATATTAGGGTCTATGCGAAACTTGAAAAATATCTGTTTATAATGTCGCTAAAATCATCAAAATACCAAATATAGGGAGGTACCGTTATATAGGGGCTATATGAAGACGTGGACCTGCACAGTAAATTTTCTGTCATAGGCTGTAGTATCCATTACGAACTTCAAATGCGAAATTTAAAACAATTCCGGTAAATAATGTTCCTAAAACATCAAAATACCGAATATCAGGGGTACCGTTTTATGGGGGCTATACGATGACGTAGACTTGCACATACAATTTTCTGTCATAGGCTGCAGCATCCACTACGAACATCAAATACCAAATTTGAAATAATTTCGGCAAATAATGTGTCTAAAATCATCAAATTACCGAATGTCGGTAGATAACAGTTATAGCTATATGAAGAGGTGGACCTACATGGCTCATTTTCTGTCTTAGACTGCAGTATCCATTACGAACTTCAAATATTAAATTTGAAACAATTCCGGTAAATAATGTCGCTAAAATCATCAAAATACCAAATATAGGGAGGTACCGTTATATAGGGGCTATATGAAGACGTGGACCCACATGGTCCATTTTCAATACCAAAAGTCTTGCAGGCATAATACACATTTTAGTAAATTTTTATCAGATTTATTCCCACAGACGTAGAGATGGGCGGAAATCGCTAAATCGACATAGAATTTTACGCTGAACAAGAATATATACTTTGTGGGGTCTAAAATGTATATTTCGAGGTGTTACAAACGGAATGACAAACTTAATATACCCTCCGTACTAATACCATATAAAATTCCAGCAGATTATGAAAGCAGAGCAAAATATAGAAGACACCTGTATCGGCGTTTTGAAAATTTACATCGCAATCTAACCTTAATAGACGGGATTAGACCGTCTCTCTCTTTTTTTTAATTTTCAGATTTTTTTATCTTATTGTCCTCTAAATTAATGTATATATTGCAGATAAAAATGAGTAAAAAGTATCTGTCGCATTTGCCGACCGATGTATACCCTCAGCCAATGTTCGATTATTTAAATATATTTGTACTTCTGTTATAATTATTCAAACTGTTAGCTCTATGGAGTAGATTCCGAAGGAATGGGCCAATATCGTCCATTTCTTATAGGACCTAAATAAATATGATATAAATATTGTGACGTGCCAGGTTTGGAGTATATGAGTTACAAGGAAATCGACCATTTATATCTAGTTTTATGCGAAATCGTAAATTCCATATTCATCGCAGGTTTCTGGTTGAGAGAAATATATCGATATAGCAAGTTATAAAGAATCGCTAACTTGTTTCGTAAGTTAAAACAGATAAAAACATTTAGAAAAGGTTGAACCTTTCTTGGTGAGATACCAGAAAGGATCAGCAGATATATATCATCAATAGATCTTGTGAAAGCAAAAATGTTTTTATATGTGAAGTTTAAAGAGATTTGAATGCTTATTTCACTTTCTTTGAGCGATTTGGTATTCAATATCTTGCATCCTATATGGTGGAGGCACCAGAAGAAATGGTCGGATGATCTTTATAACAGATCTTGTGTCGATAGAAATATTGAGATATACCAAGTCTGAGTGGAATTGGATGTTAATTTCGCGTTTTATGACCTTCATGGATTTTCAAAATCTTGACCCCTTGTTAGGGAGGTAGCAGAAGGCGTTGATCGATATATTCAATCTTCAAACCAGACTTTGGGTTATACACCTTGTGTTGATGAAAATATTGGCATGTGCCAAGTCTGGAATGGATTCGGATGTAAATTTCGCTTTCTATGAGCTTCATGGATATTCAAAATTTTAAACTTTTGTGGGAGAGGTACCAGAGGGAGGGGGCCGATATATTCCATCTTCACACCAGACCCGGGTTTAATAATAATATTGTGATGTGTACAATTTGAAGACAATCGGATTCTTACATCACATTTTATAAAAGTTAAAATTATTCAAAATTTTCACCCTTTTTGGTGGAGGTTCTTCATGGAGTGCACCGACATTGTCCATTTTCACACCTGACTTAGAACTGATGCAAAGATTGGGATTTACAAAGTTGAAGCAAAATCGGTTTATTCTTCCTCTTTCTGTGAAGTGAAATATTTTTTGGAAATTTCGACTTATTGTGGGGGAGGTAACAGAAGGAGTGGGCCGATATTATCCATCTCCAAACTCGATCTAAGTTTGACACGTTTTGGCCGTATCAAATGATATATACCTTCCCAAGCCATATGGCTGAGGGTATAATTAAAGCTGAGCATATGTGGGGGCTATACCAAAATTTGGACCGGTATACGCCATATTTTTTATACCCTCAGCCATATGGCTGCAGAGGGTATATATTATTTGATACGGTCAAAACTTGCCTAGTCGAAATAACGGTTCTAGACCCTAGGTCTCTTTGGACCAAATCCGTTTCAGAACATTTGGAGTCGATCTAGCGATGTGCGTCCGTCCGTCCGTCTGTCTGGCTGGTGCGCACGATAGCTCTCGAAGGGAGTATCCGGTCCACTACGGTCCACTCCCCCCCACCAGAAATTGTTAAAATTTTGAGTATCCATGAAGCTTGTAAAACGCAAAATTAACATGCGATTCTATTCAGACTAGGAGCTTCTCAATATTTTCATCAACAAAAGATCTGTTATAAAGATGGTAGAGATCGGACCATTTTTTCTGGTACCTCCCCACATCGGGTTCAAGATTTTTAAAAACAAAACGCTCAAGGAATACGAAAAAAGCATCCAAATGCATCCATCCATCTCCTCAAATTTCCCACATACAAATATTATTTCTAACACAAGATCTGTTGTGAAGATGATATACATCTGCCAACTTATAACTGTCATAACTTGCGAATCAAGTCTGCGATTCTTTACAACTTGCTATATCTAAATGTTTCTCTTAACCTGTATTTTGATATGAGTATGTTATTTGTCGGAGTTTATGATTTCGCATAAAATTCGACACGAATGTTCGATTTCCTTCAAATTTTGCACATACCAATATATTTTATCTGTATTAGATGAAGTACGAAAATAGAATACTTCGGTCGGCTATATCTGTTACCTGACACATATTTCCATTTTCCGAAAGTGTGCACATATCTCATATAAAGTACAAGAAGTAGTCGATATAGTCCAAATCTGTCACGTTCATAACTCAAGGCTGGGGTATACATCTGTCGGCAAAACCGACTGATACTATTTTACTTGTTTACATATTATTCTGCATGTTACTCAAAGACCTGCATTTAATTGTATAGTTCCATCTTACATTTTGCAAGGTATAGAGTAAAATATTAGAGAGCCTTTGTGTGGGCCTTAAAAAAAGTTTGGTCTGGGAACCCAAAATCCTTTTGGGATTTTAATCCGCTAAACGAATGCGACTAAATTCACTTAGAATATCCTAACCCAAGACCGGAATATTGACGCACAATGTTGTAGATGGTAAATGTTATAGCCCCTCAATATTGTCAAAAGGTATGGCGTATAGTTAGTTATCTTGTTGTTTAATAATTTATAATTCACCCTATAATCTATAGTAGATATTTGAATTTGTAATAATTTCTTATATTTTTCTTTTTTATTCCAGATAACGCCGTAATAATTTAAGCTAGGGGCCGTTGACGTACTCAGTTAACATTTTATTCTGAGGTAAGTCAGATCGCATTTTGCAATGTTTTAATTCTTTTATTTAATATCGGAAAAGTGTATTGTTCTATAAAATCAAGAGGAAATATTTACAACAACATAAATTTATTCAGATTTGACAAAATACATTTTGACATTTAGTATTTCCATCTGGCAATATATGTTCGACGACATGACAATAATGCATTAGAAAATTGACAGAAATATGTTATACCGAAATCGCGAAAAAATGGCGGCAAATCGCGGAGAAAACCAACAGATATGGTAGATTTGGACGCAGAAATATCTTCCAGAGCATTTCTGTCTCCATTTAATCGAAAAAAATTAGCGAAATCCCTAATAAAACGTCAGGTCTCTCAAATTATAATATAATACTGTGCCATGATATATGGTGACAACATATTCTTTCACTTTCAACGCTATCTCTTGTAACAATGAAATGCCCATCTTATATTTATACCCTACACCACAAGGTGGTCAGGGCATTATGTCTTTGTGAATTTGTTTGTAACATGGAGAAGGAAGCGAGATAGACCCATAGTTACTTTTGAGGATCTCCATAGAATCACTTTCGGAATTGAATTTATGAATTTATGCATGCCAGTTCGTCTGTCCGTCCGTCTGTTCATGTATTCTTATGAACAAAATGCAGGTCGCATTTATTCTCCGATTAGGATGAAATCAGTTGTTTGGCCCAAGGACGAACCCTATTGAAATTGGAGATAATCGATAAAAAATTAGATATAGCTTCCATATATATCTTCGTCCGATTTGCTTTTTATTGTGCACCTAACGTGTAATATCAGTCCGAATATTATGGAATTTTGCACATACAACCAAATTCGGCATGAAAATAAGTATGCCAAATTTGATCGAAATCGGCTCAGATATAGCTATAGCTCACATATATATTTTTCATCAGATTTGTTACTTTTGTCCTCCACAGCCGTAATATGCTCTATGTAACAACAACATTTGAGGAAATATATCAAATGCAGCTCAGAAATACCTTTGCTAAATTTTATCGAGATCGGTTCAGATTTGGATATAGCTCCCATATATAATTTCGTCCGATTTACCTTTTATTGTGCACCAAACGTATAATATATGTCCAAATGGGATGGAATTTGGCACATGCGACCGAATTGAGTCTAGAAGCTAGTATTCCAAATTTGGTGAACATCAGTTCTGATATAGCTATAGCTCCCATATATATTGTTCATCCGATTTGTTATTTTTGTCCTCCGCAGCCATAATATGCACTCCGTAACAACGATATTCAGGGAAATATATTAAATACTGCTCAGAAATATCTTTGCCAAATTTGATTGAGATCGGTTTCGGCACATTAAGTCCTTTGAACTTTAAATTATAATAATGGCGTGTATGTTTGAATTCTCCAATAAAAACTTTTAATTGGTATGTGCAAAGTGGTGTAGGGTATCACATGGTCGGCCCCGCATGACTATAGCCTTTGCTCACTTGTTTATATTGTAATTATCAACAGACCACCTGTGCGTATGACACATATCTTAGAAATATTTTTGTAACTCATACGCCCCATGTGCCGTTTTCTTCTTTAGGTTTAAACTTCATAGAAGTGCAAACACAATTTCATGTAACATAAAATTTACAATTTCTCTCGATTACAAATTACAACATCAAAAACGTGCTTCTTTTACCCGGACAATAGAATCTGTAATTCAATGGCCTTTTCTCGGAAGTATATAATGGAAACCTTTCGTGCTTTCAACAATTTAAATGTAACTCCTTGAAAAGACATAAAATCAGTCTTATGCAGCTGAAGTCATACCTTCAAGAAGCCAAGAAAATAAAAAAATAAAAACGGCACAATAAAATGGTCATTTTAATTTGTGGTCATATATTTTAAAGAATGAAGCTGAGCATGTAACTGGATCACGAATGTTGCATGACATACGCCAATGCTTGGCGTTTACTCTTCTGTTGTTGATTACTAAGAGAAACGTGAAATGGGTACAGGGAAGCCGTTTTCAAAATAAGATTGCCGTTTTGGTAAGTTTTATATTTTATAAAACAAATCTAATTATTTTGTCTGATTTTGAAACTTGAGACCAATTCTAATACCGCCTTCGATGAGAGTTCCACTTTTTCAAAATTTAGGTTATATTTGAAGGAGGTGCAAAAAGAGTACCCCGAATGTACTCGATATACCCACTTGATCTAGTATTTAAGAGCTGTAATTTTTCAAAATTTTAACCCGCTATGGGAGAGGTACCAGAGTTATTGGGCTGATATTTTCAGTGCTCCCACCCAGCTTCACACCAGATAGAAATTTATCGCGGCATTATGGGAACGGCAAAAAAATCGCTTCCTAATTTCACTATTAAAAATGTTAAGCCATATCAAATTTAGTAAATATCGGATACTACCTTCATAATTTGTAAGAATATACATTTTTGAAGATTTTAAACTTTATATGTTATATTTACACCTAATTAAAGATCCAAAGAAATAATGAACTGTGACATATATCCTTGTATTATTTGGCCAAAATCGGGAGCTATAGCTCCCATATATATGTTTCATCCAATTTGGTGTTGAAGTCCCTCACATACGTCATATGCACTCCATAAAGATGATATTTGATTCTGACATCAGATACAGCTCGAAAATACCTTTGAAAAATTTTATCGAGTTCGTTTCAGATTTTTATTTAGCTCCAATATACATCCTCATCCGATTTAGGGTTATTGTTCACCATATATAATATAATTCCAAATTGGTTATATATTTTTTATATTCATATATACAGCAATGTTATTTGGTGCTAGAGGTACAAAAGCCTCCGTCAAATTTGTTGAAAATCTATTCAGAGTTGGATATAGTTCCCAAATTGTCGCTACTCTAATGCCATTAACTTTCGTGAGTTGGAGGGTGCCAGAAAGAGTGGTTCAACAAAATTCGAATCAAATCAGGTACGTCATTCGACAGTAACCGACCGCAGCAGCCAGATTGACGGACGGAGGGATATCGGGGGATATTTTAATCTTGGGCATAAGTCTAATTTTTAGTCCCTAGCTGTTTATTTATTGAAAACCATCTAAGTTTTTAAGAGGGTAGTGAAATAACTGACTGACTCAGAATCAACGCCCATACGAAGCGGCTGAGGTTGGAATCTCAGTCTTGGTGCGTAGGCATGTGATAACCCTGAATTTTTGACAATTTGTACTACAAAGGGTACGAAAATTGCTAACAATTTGGAATTTGGAGTCCCTGATCGAGTAAAGGATAGATGTACCAAAGGGTTTTTGGAAATTCGAACTTTAAGGATCGAAAGGATCAAAGCGCAGGAAAGGATATAAACTGGTACTAAACTTCTAAAATGATACCATTTAGTATTATGTGAAGGGATAGAAATTTAGCACCTGAATCAGCTTTGGTGCGTAGATGTGCGATAAGGCTGGGAAATTCGTACTAAAAGGGTTCGGAAAATACAAAAATTCACTAAAAATTGGAAACTTTGTATTGGACAAACGGAATGAGTTAGAGTTTGAAATTTGGAATGAGATTCACGAATGGAGTAGCCAAGGGTTGTTGGAAATTCGAACTTTAAGGTTATGAATTGTTCTAAAATGATGCTAAACTTTTTAAATGGCACCATTTGGTATTATGTGAATAGAGACATAAACCTTAAATATGGTATGAAAATGAAGATTGGAAAGTAAGTTTGCTTTACGAAGGTGGTTTTGTAAAAGTGTACCAGATGGCACTAACTGTCCCAACTTGTACTAAGTTGTGGTACAATTCCTTTTTGGGTGAACGGATGAAGTTCAAATTTTGAAATTTTGGTATGGGGGCTCTGTTGGTGTTAGGTTTGTGATAGTTTGAGGTGGTTTTGGAAATCTGTACTACAAATACACGAAGAGAACTTAATAGTACTATATTTGATAGAAATTGGAATTCGTTAAACAGAAAAAGCTTGAAATCCGAAATTTGGCATTAGGGTCTCTGTTTATGTTTAGCCTGGTCATATGGATGCTGTCTCGGAAATGTGTACTATATTTGTACCAAAAGTACTGAATGGTACTATATTTGGTATTGGATAAAGGAATAAGGCTGGAATCCTCAAATATGGTATTGAGGTCTCTTTTGTTATCTGTGTCTGGGTATGGAGGTAGTTTTGGAAATGTGTCCTGCATTTGTACGAAATATACTAAATGGTACTAAATTTGGTATTGGGTAAAGCGATAAGGGTGGAATCTTCAAATTTGATATTGCTTTCTGTGTCTGAGATTTGGCGGTATATTTGTACGAAAAGTACTAAATGGTACTAACCTCTAATTTGATATGTATATATATCACTGTTGTTGCCTGCTGTTGAAAAAAGGAGTTAAATATTTCGTATTATAATTGTACTAAATTTAGTAAAGGGGAAAATTATATAACTAAAATCCTCAAATTAGATAATGGTTAATCTGTTGGTATCTGGAATTGAGATGTGGTTCTGAAAATGTGTAATATAATTGTAAAAATTGTATAAAAAGTACCAAATATTACTAAATTTGGTATTTCGTGAAGATATATATCTGGAATACCAAAATTTCATGTTGAAGTCTCTGTTGGTATCAGGTGCGTACTTTAATTGTTGGAAAAGTACTAAATGGTACTAATGTTGAATCACTGGTGTCTAGGATGGAGAGATGTACATTGTAGTAGATACGCGTACTATTTTTTAGTATATTTGGATTTGGGTGAAGGGAGGTCACTCTTGGTTTGTAGACGTTTCATGATGACATTGAAATAGTTTTGAACAGAAAAATTAGAAGTGGTTCCATTGTGCAATGTTTTTACGAATATCCACTTCGGTAAACATAAAAAGGAGAGATTTTGTAGACTTTAAGGTGTAAAAGTTTTCCTGTTATTCTATCCAAAATATATAATTTATTATTCTTTAAATGTCGGAAAATCGGAAGTTATTTTAAGAAATTAAAAAAAAATTTATCAAATTTAACAAATTGCGA